TGAACAATATATTCTTTGACATGCTTAATATATCAGTAGTCTATCTTGATAATATTCTCATATATTCTGACAACCCAGAAGATCACCAGAAACATATTCATGAGATCCTATGCAAGCTCAAAGCTAATAGACTCTACTGCAAAGGCTCCAAATGCAAATTCAACTAGGATTTCATGAAATATCTAGGCTACATCCTATTATCTGAAGGACTTTGCATGTCTGAAGAAAAAGTCAAGGCTATTGTTGACTGGCCAGTGCCATGAAAGGTCAAGGACATCCAATCTTTTTTTGGCTTTGCCAACTTCTACTATTGCTTCATACATGAATATAGTGATATTATTCTTCCTCTTACATGACTCACCCACAAGGAAACTCTATAGAAATTTGATGATAAATGCTTGGCCACCTTCAATGAATTGAAACAGGTCTTTACACATGCCCCCATCCTTATCCACTGGGTCTCTGATTGAAAGATAGTGGTGAAAACTGATGCTTCCAATTATGCAATTGCAGCTATCCTCTCTATCTATCTTGAAGATGGTGAAATTCACCTCATCATCTTCTGCTCTCAGAGCCTCTATAATGCTGAACTCAACTATGACATCTATGACAAAGAGCTTCTAGCCATTTTTGAGGCCTTTAAACATTGGCAGCACTATCTTGAAGGCTTCATGGACTCCATCAATATCATAACAGACTATAAGAACCTTGAAGAGTTCACCACCACCAAGATTCTAACTCACTGACAGGTCCACTAGTCTGAATACCTATCTCAGTTCAATCTAGTAATCCAGTTCTGCTCTGGGAAACTTGAAGAGAAACTGGACATGCTAACTAGATGATGGAACATCTATCTTAAAGAAGAGGATAGCCAATATGCCCAAGTCAACCTCCATAATTTCTGACCCATGTTCACCCAAGAACAACTTTCTGCATCACTCCATGCAACCTACCTTGAAGACCTCACTCTACAGGCTAATGCCATCATAGACATTGACAAACTCCACACTGATATCAAATAAGCACAATTCTCTGATCCTATATCCTCTGACAGCCTCTGCCAGACCAAAGCCACTTCTGAATCCTCTCTCTCTCAGTGGTTTATAGATAAATCCAACATCCTTTGGTTTGAAGGCTGCATCTATGTCCCAGACTCTGATGATCTCTATCTCTATATACTATAGAACAATCATGACTATATCTTGACAGATCACTTTAGTCAAAACTGGACATTGAAACTAGTCCAGCAGAACTATACCTGGCTAAAGATACATGAATATGTTCAACACTATGTTAAGTCCTGCACAGTTTATGGGTGCAATAAGACACCTAAACACTGCTCCTATAGGTTACTCAAATCTCTGCCAGTTTCTAAACAGCTATGGGATTCTATTTCTATGGATTTCATTGAACAACTATCAGACTCTAACAGATTTACCACCATCTTAGTAGTCATAGACTAAGCTAGCAAGCAAGCCATCTTCATTCCCACTCATGACACTATTAACTCTGCAGAGCTCATCCAACTTTTCCTTATCCTTGTCTTCTCCAAACATGGAGTACCCAGTCACATCACATCTGATCATGGTTCTGAATTCATTTCCCAATTTACTCATGTCTTAGCTATAGCTCTTGACATGGAACTCCACCTTACTTCTAGTTACCATCTGGAGGCTGACAGACAAACTGAACAGACAAACCAAACTCTAGAATAGTACATCTACATCTACTGCTCCTACCAACAGGATAACTGGAACACCCTCCTACCCATTGCTAAGTTTGCCTACAACAATGCCCCTAATGTGTCTACTGGAGTTTCTCTATTTTTCACTAACAAGAGTTACCACCCCAATATCACTGTTCACTCTGAAAGAGGCATTGCCTCTGCTCAGACCTGAGACTTTGCAGTCAACCTTAACAAGCTCCATCAAATACTGAAGGACAAAATTTCCAAAGCTCAGTCTCATTATAAGGTCCAAGCAGACAAGCATCAGATCTCAGCACCCCTGTTCATAGTGGGCAACAAAGTCTATTTCAGTTCCAAACATATCAAAACCATCTGCTCAACCAGAAAATTCTTGAAGAAATACCTTGGTCCTTTCAAAATCATAGCCTAACCTGATTTCCACTTCTTTATGCTGAAGCTTCTGCCAAATCTCCAGTCTATTCACCCAGTCTTCTATATGTCACAATTGGAATCTATAAAAGAAAACACCATTTCTGAATCCAACCACCACTATCTTCAGTTGAAGTCAACAAAGAAGAACATTTTGAAATAGCCCAAATCCTTGACTCTAAGCTGGACTGCTGATTCTGCTGCCCACTGCTGTACAAGATCCAGTGGCTAGGCTACAAAGGTACCAATGAAGAATTTGCTTAGTTACCAGCCTCTGAGTTCTCTGCTGACAAATTTATTGAAGAATTCCACCCTTGATATCCAGGCAAACCAGGATTCTTATCCAAAGTCACTTAATTATTCCATTCTTAATACAATACTACTCTGGCTGCCACTAGTGTTTTATCTTACTATTTCAATTCTAACCACTGATTACCATGTCAATCACTCTTTTTACACTTTCAAAGTCAAAATCTTGTATATATATATTTTTTTTCCACTACCAACATCTAACACCTTTTTCTATATACATTTCATATAAAATTTTACAGAGAAGTGAAACCTGACAGATCTGCACTAGAATATAAACTCTCTCTCCACTTCTTCAACTCATCTATATCCTTATCCAGCCTCTTTAATATCATCTCCTGAAGATCCTCCACCTCCTGATCCCTCTTATCCCTGAAAATCAGTTGGGCCTTCTTTCAGGCCTCTACTTTGGATTCTGAAAACAGCTTTAAGAGAGATGACATGTCATCAGAATCATAGTCATCCTGGAGACCTGCTACTATACTATGAATATCTGCCAGCTCTTCTGCCAACTCATCTACATGATGCATCAACTTGCAAATTAGTCTTAAAATTTGGTGGAGGCCAGCAGAGACCTTTGCACTACTGATCACCTCACTTGTGGTGACATTCTTGTTGAATGAACAAGTGGTTTTCTTGACCTTGCAGCAAGTGTAAGTCTACCCTTGACTGGCACCTTCAGTTATCAGTTGTGCATAACACTGTGTGCCATCTTGATGACAGCATACACAACTTTCTAAAAACAAAAGCTAAGTCAAACTATGCAAGAAAACTAAGACACTTACTTTTACCATCTAACAACTCTTCACCCTCCACCAGCTTTACAACATCCAACTTCACCCGCTTTTTGGGACTAGTGACCATCTCTGTCTCTCTGCCATTCACTACATTTCTTGACCTGAACTTGTGTTTATGGCCCTTCTTTGTTAAACCCATCATCCTTCTCTTTTCCTCCTGCACTCTCTTTCTTCTCTCCAGGATTCTCTCAGATTCTTCTGACTCATTATCTCCCTTGGTTCCCTTGTCCTGCTTATCATCAGACTCTGAAGGCATATGGCCAGTCACCTTCTTGAAGTGAAGACTGAGGCCAGAACCAAACCATTCTGCCAGCACTTGATGCAGCCAAAAATCAATGGCCTCCATAGAGGTCATTTGCAATCCATTCTCTATAACCATCTCCTCCTGCCCTATCTCTGAGGCCTCAGCCCTCACTGCAGCCTCTGTGGCCTCTCTCTCTTCAGCCTTTCTCTGAGCTGCCTCTCTCAAAGCCTCTTTTACCTTTTTCATCTGCCTCTCTACTGCTTGTCAGACCTTCTCTCTTTTTCTCTCTAATCTCTCTTGCTGCATCTTTCTCTGCACCTTCCAGGCCACATGGTTCACTCAGACCTTCTCCTCTCTCTCCCACTTTCTTTTTCACTCTGAGTGGACTTCTATAGCCTCTATGTACTCTTTCTCTGCAGTCTGCTATTTCAGATAGAATAATTCCTTGGTCTCTTCAGAGCCATTGGGCATAGGTTCCCTCACCAAAGGCTTGAGAGTGCATGAATGATGATATGTGGTGAGAGGCAACATAGTTGCAAAAGTTTAGGCAATAGTGGTAGTATCTGATCAAGTTGCAAAATTTTTCACAGCCACCAACAATCTTCTATATGGCTTTACCAGCCATCAGGATCTGCACTCTTGAGGGCAAGAATGCTACTGACCTTCATATCACCTCAACCAACCATGGATTCAATCACCAAAACCCACTGGACTCCAGCTGCTTCTTATTATCTATTAATTTTATTTTCACTATGATTATTTCACATCCATATTTCACATTGTAATATCTAGACCCCAAACTTAGTAGCAAATATTGACATCAGAACTCAATGGAACCTGACTCAGAATTAGCTACTATTAGTATATAAAGCCATGTATAACTATTGTAACTACTCAGTTTGAATACCAACTTGAATAGCCATTTACACTTCATACTCACTTCAACTCCTCCCTACCTCATCTATTAGATTTCACTCCAAAGGATACTCTTCTTTGCTTCTCTGATGGAACTCCATTCCATCTATTTAAATCCTTAGGCTCTGACTCAAAGGTGATATTGCCAATAGCTTTGCTGATGCCCATGCACTCTGCTAGTCTCTGCACATGCACTCAAACCCACTTGATTGGCACATTCCTAACAGATGGCTTGGAAGCTCAAATTGTTGTAGGGGAGCTCTTTATCAGTTCAAGTAGAAGACTGTTGGTTAGGTCAAGAAGGCCTAGCCCTTCCAGCTCTGCTGTCTCTTTGCTGCTCTCTCTCTCTCTCCACTTTCTCACTATATCAGTGGAAGTCATTGTAGAAGATGTTGTTGAGGAAGAAGGTGGTGATACATTCTTATAAGAATTGTCAGAGAGCTCAGTCAGAGATCCTAGTCCCAGGAGGGATCTGAATTCCATACTTGTCAATGATAGAACTGGCATTAGAGAGGAGAGAGCTGCTGCTCCCAATACTTTCTTCATAAGTAGGAGATGAAGGCTCATAGTCATCATCAAGGTTTATTGCTTCATCTGCAGTGTAGACCTTGGCATCAGCCTAATAGTCTATGGACCAAGAGTCATCTTCATTGTTGGAGCCCCACTCAGGCCATTCTTGGAGCTTCTCATTGTTACTAGTGCTAGGACTGAGAGGTGGAGGGTTGGCAACCCTGATCTGCTAGGCTTGGTCAGTGGTGGTTCCTAAGAATATACCTTCTTCCTCTTTATAATATAGGTCTCCTTCTGCTTCCCCATATAGTCTGTAATGCTTGAGGGCCACAGGCCCTCACTCTGCTGCCCACTCTTCTCTTGCTCACTGCTGATACTGGGCATTGTAATATTCTTTCTTGGCCTCCTGCTGCTGATAGGCAAGTTCCCTCTTGTCATTTTCCTGCTGCTGAAGTTCAAGCTCTCTTCTCTCTCTGTCAATCTGGTTGAAGATCCTGGAGTTGTTGAAATCATATCCTTTCCTTTCAAACTCCCTTCATGAGAGTGTGATGAGGGAGTGTTCATAGAAGTCACTGGGTATTGAGGGGAGAGGACTAGGGGTTGGAGGAATTGGACTTTCTTGGGGAGTGATATATCTTGATCCTCTCTCTGCAAGTCTTGCAACCTCATTAATAGAGTCTCTGGCATGGTCTCCAATGCTGAGTGCATAGGGAGTGGTGGAAGGGTTAGAGAGTGGCAACTCTTCAAAGAAGTTGTTGGAGAGGTTCTTATCCTCATAGTTGGGGACTGCTGAGGGGACCCAAGGGTTTCAGAATCCTGTGTTCAGACACTCATCATATCTACCAGCTGCTCAAGAGAGTCTGGCTGATTGTCTGAGTTCTTCTTTTTTTTGAGTGTCTCCTTTATTCAGGTAACTATCTCTGGTTTCAGGTATAGTTCTGAGTGCAAGCTGAAAAGAGGTTTGGGTAGAGAGAGGGATGTCAGAGAGAGAGGTCAGAGGTGACATTTTATAGAATTTGTTGAATATGTTGGAAAGATTGATAGTATCTGACTACCCAAGCTGTAACTGATTGATGTCCACAGCAAAGTGTGATAATTGCAAGTAAGCCTAAAAGTGTTCCTATAATAGAAGCTAGTAGCTTAAAGAATTTGTTGGTAAGATTGGTAGTAGTGATGTTGATGACAGACATTCAGTTTTCTTCACTTATAATAGGCATAAGAAAAGGAAAATGGAAGTCTCAAACTAATTGTTAGGCCTGAGTGACATGTGATCTATAACACATAGTAAATAAGCACTGTATTGTGTTCATACAATCACACTTAAGTCTATTTGATGTGTTTGAAGATATTATATCCTAAGGTTAATGCTATAGTTGACTCAAGTAAAGTGGTAGAATAAAAGATAGTTCAAGACTAGGGATATATGATGTTGGCTATGCTATTTATATACTATTTGTCTCCTAGATAATTATAGTGCTACTAATTGTGCATGTCTGTGCTATAGTGTCTATTGTCCTAGGGCATTATGGTTACCTACAATAGGGTGATTGTCTTGTTGTCAGAGTGTTGTTATGTGTTTCAGAGCAGTGATTAGTGTGCTGACCTAGGTGCTCTGACTAATCATAAATAGACATTGAAACATGAGGAATAAAGAAGAAAAATAGAAAAATTATAACAGACCTCTAGCTCTATTGGCACCCTCTGGCAAAGGAAAAGAAAAGAAAGAGCCAGTAGTACCATTTCCTCTGCCTTCTGAAAACTCATCAAATCATCCTTGGTATGATCAGAGACTACAGTCCTTGCTTAGGCCCAAAAAGCTAGCCCTACCATCAATGCCACTGCCACTATTACCTGACACTCTACCCCTATGAGAGCCTGAAACTATGGAGCCCTGAGGAAATTTAAAGCTGATTATAGCCTAAGAGCCAGTACTATTTAAAGGAGAAAGCCTGGACTTGAAACACTTTTTCCAACAATGTGAGGCTTATTTTGAGGTGTATAGCTTCTACTTCTCCATGAGCTCCACTGGATTCAGCTCTTACTGAGTAATATTCTATACAACCTGATTTGAAGATACTGCAAAAGAATTGTAGAGCCTATAAGAATAGTACTTTTATGATCTAACTACAGGACAGTGGAGGTATCCCTCCTACTCATGATTCAAAGAAGCTGTACAATGACAATTCAAGCTAGATATAGAACAAAAGGTTTGTACAGCCAAGTGGCAAGCCTTATGACAGGCCAACTTTACTGATGCCAAGAAATTCTTTCAAGAATCCACAGAGTTAGCATATCAGGCTGAGAAGATATGCAATCATAAAGCCATGTTGGAGCAGATCAAGAATACAGTCTGACTCAATCTCTATAACATTATTGCCTATAGAGACAATGATTTTCCCTCCACTTATAATAAGTGGAAAAAAAGGATTTTGTGGATAGACTACAATTATTGAATCAACACTCTTGGTTATAGAGAAGTGAAAGCCACTACAAGTGGAGAAAAAGCTGTTGCTGATGGGTCAGCTCCAAAAAGAATGACTATGAGTGACAAGAGGACTGAGACTGAAACTGTGTATAGCAGTCAGAGGCAGCTAATGGATATTGATGCACTCTGAAGGGAAGGAAAGTGTTTCAATTGTAGAGAGAAGAGGCACTTATCTCATGCCTGCCCAAAATCCCACAAGCATTGGCCTCAAAGATTTGCCTTAAATGCTACATCAAGCAGTCAATCTTTTACCTTGCACAATATTCAGAAAATGAAATTCTCAGATAAAGAATAGAAGCAGCTAAGTCAGATATACCAAGAAAAAATGGCTGGATGAAAAGCCCAGAAGGAACTGGACCAGGCTATTGAGAAGGAGAAGTGGAAGGAGAGAGAAACCAAATTCTAGAAGGATTTTGGCAAGTAATCTCTTGATGCATACACAGGTAGATTTTCAACATTTTCTTAACTAAAGCAGATGATACTAAAATAGTGCATTTCAAACCAGACATTATATCTACCTGTTAGAAATATGCTAATTGATTGGGCTTGAATGCATGCATGGAGACTACTGGAGTGCATGGGCATCAATGAAGCTATTGGCAATATCACTCTTGAGTTGGAGCTCAAGGATTTGGATAGACACAACAGAATTCTGTCAGAGCAGTGAAGAGGAATATCCTCCAGAACAGAACCTGATGGAAAAGATAAAGAGAAGCTAAAGTGAGCATGAAGTGTAAATAGCCATTCAAGTCAATATTCAAACAGAGTAATTACAATGATTGTGCATAGTTTATATACTATTGATAGTTAATTCTGAGTTGGGTCTATTGGGTTCTAGTGTGAATTGTTTGCTACCATTTTCAAAGTCTAGATACTACACTGTAAAATATGGATGTGAAATAATAATGGTAAAATGAAATTAATAGTTAATAGAAAGTAGATGGAGTCTAGTGGGGTATGGTGATTAAATTTGTGATTGATTGAAGTGGTGTGGAGACTGGCAGCATGCATGTGATAGTATCTCCCTATTAGTGTTCTTACCCTTAAGAGCATAGATCCTGATGCCCAGTGAGACCATATGGAGAATTGTTGGTGGCTATGAGAATCCTGAAACTTGATCTGCTACTACCACCATCTCTTGCTTGGTTATCTTTTCCTTACTTTGTCAAAATGTTGACTATTATAGTATATCATTTATCAGTAATTCTTAAGCTCTTCATGTGGGTTCTGATGCTAGTTTGTTCTGAAGGAGAAAGAGAGGAGTTTTAGTTAGACTAGCTTGTGACAGAGGAGAATCACACTGAGGCAGTGGAGAGACATGAGTCATAGAAGGCAGAGAAAGTGAAGAGAGAGTGGGAAGAGAGGATAAAGGTAGAGCACACAGTCTATATGGAAAAGATAAAGGCCTTGAGGAGGGCTGTAGAGAAGCAGAGAGAGCAGAAAAGATTGAGGACAGAGGAGGATGCATAGAGATTAGTGGAGGCTGAGAAAAAAAAAAGGGCATGAGAGGCCATAGAGACCAAGGAGTGAATATAATTAGAGAGCAGGATGGCAAGAGGAGGTGAGTCTGTGCAGACTCCAGTGGAGAATGTAGATTATCTTCACAGGAGGATGCTGGCTGAGATAGAGTTGGATCTAGCAGAATCTAGAATATATTTGATAAAGGCTCCTCAGATTGAGGTAGAGTCTGAGAGTGAAGAAAGTGAACTGTTAGATGCATCATAGGTCTATCTAGAGCAGCTGAGGATGAATATTTGACAAGGTAAATAGAGAGCCACTGGGTCCATTGAGAGAGGTCAGAAATGAAAGGTCAAGTTGGCTAGTTTTGTGGCTGACAGCAGTAGTGAGGATGAGGCCAGTGCTAGTCTCAGAAAGAGGGTGAGGTTGAATATCATGGCTCCAGCAGAAGGTGAGGGAAAAGTAGTTAGAGAGTGTAAGTGGTATGTTTCTTTGGGGGTCAGATTGCTAATTATCTTTTTCAGAGTGTTATATCAGGTGTAGGCAAGATGATACTCTCTGCTATGTCCAGACTACTGCTGGGCATGGTCAAACTTGTGTATGCTGTAAGGTCAAGAAGACAGCATGCTTGTTTAACCAGAAAAGCAGTGCTGGCAGAATTGTGGAGAATGCAGAGATCACTACCACTCTCTGAAAAATCAATGGCAATGTGAAGAAGTTGCAGAGCTGAGTGGATGAACTCACAAAGGAGATAATGAATCAGATAGACAAGTTAGTGAAGGAGGTGACAGATATCTGTGAGACTGTGAAGGGTTTGCTGGATGATTATATGTTAGATATAGAGTCTCTAGTGGAGCTTGTATCATCTGACTTGGAGTCTTAGGCAGTGGCTCATGCAGAGTTTCAGTATATGAGAGAGTCAAAGGTGGAAGGGTTGAGAAAGGCAATAGAGAGGCATCTAGATAAGGATATAGCAGAGTTGAGGGAGATGAGAAAGGAGGCAGACTCCAGCAGAGACAGGGGTGGAGCAAGTTCTTCAGACATTAGACCTTCCTCTTAAATGATTTGTCATATTTCTTGTATTTTTGTATTTATAGTGAATGGCTGAGGTTTAGTAGAGCCAAACAAAATGTAATTATTTTTCTGTTTTCAGGTTTGAACAAGAGTGATAAAGAGTTGGTGATGAAAACTGGTGGGGCTGAGGAGACATCAAGTGAACTGGGAATTTGAAAAGGAAGTGTTCAAGAGGTGATCTTGGACAAAGATCCTAGTTTGTCTGGATATTAATGGTGGAATTCTTCAATGAATTCATCAGCAGAGAACTCAGAGGCCAGTAACTAAGCAAATTCTTCATTGGTATCTTCATAGCCTAGCCATTGGATCTTATACAGCATTGGGCAGCAGAACCAGTGGTTCAGCTTAGAGTTGAGAATTTGCACTATTTCAAAATATTCTTCTCTGTTGACTTCAACTAGAGGCAGCAGTGGTTGGATTTGGTTAGGAATAGTGTTTTCTTCTATAGGTTCTAATTGTGACATATGAAAGACTGAATGAATAGACTGGAGATCTGGTGGAAGCCTCAGAGTGAAGGAGTGGAAACTAGGTTGGGCTATAATTTCAAAAGGTCCAAGATATTTCTCAGAGAATTTTCTGGTCAGACAGATGGTTTTAATATGTTTGGAACTGAGATAAACCTTGTCACCCACTGTAAACAGAGGCACTGAAATTCAATACTTATCTACTTGGATCTTGTAGTGAGCCTGAG